AACAAATAATTCGTCTATCCACATTCTTACATATATCTTACTATACGTTATACGAAAAAAACTTCATGCGTATATCTCCCAAGTAAAATTTCAATGGGCAAAAACTTACTAATAAAAATTACAATGGGCAAATCTCCAAATGAAATGGGCGATTGTCCATTCGCTCCTCCCCCCCCTGGATACGCCGCTGTATCATAACTGTTTAAAAGTTTCTTATTCTTATCAAAAAAACTAATTTTCGTCTTCTAAAATACGACTGAATTGTGTTCTGGAAAACGGTTGAGGTTTCTTCATTTCACAAAAAAAGCCTTTTAGCTATTTTAAAATCCCAAAGTAGTTCGGAGGTTTTCAAATCACGAATTTTCCTTCTATACCTAACGGTTTCTCTGCTCTGTATCTGCCTCATCATGCTCAAATAGTTCACAGACATATAGCTCGCTGTCCTGATGGTGAATTTAGTGTCTTTCCTTTTTTTTCAACATGAACACACAAGATCTGTTTATCAGAAAATTAAAAGAATAGGAATTTGGAAGAAAATATCATCCATCACTAAATCCAGACGATGAAGATTAATTGACATTTCTATGACTACTATTTCAAATATAAAAAACTCAAACACAAAAAGCACTTCATTTTTAAACTATTTTCTCGACTGAAGTGAGTACCAAAGTGTGTCTCGAAACGCGTCTCGTACTTTCTGTAATTTGATTATCTATCTGAGTACATGTTTTTTCTTTTTCCTCTTCTGTTAAAAAACTTCAAAAAAAATTATACTCTACTCACACATTTAAAAATCGTTTTTCTCAACAAACTTTTCTTGTCATTGTTATTATTATCTGTTCTCTGTCGATTGTTATTTACCCATATCATAAGCTGAAATCATAAATAATGTTTATAATTTAGTTTAAACTTTACAGAGAGATAATTTTATTTTCATAAAAGATATTGAAAGATTATTACTTTGTATAGTAAAAGTAAATAAAAATATTGGTAAAATATTAAAAAAATAATAAAAATGTTCACAAATAATAATCAAATTTTTAATTTTGAACAAATCGAATGTTTTAGATCAGCATACACCATCTATATCGAATCATCTACATAAGTCGAATGTTTTAATCGAATACATACTTTACCGAACGTTTTAAAATATTAAACTAACCATCTCACTTTTGTGATGCTCTCTATATTGTTCCTTCGTTTTCACGTAATATCTGTATCATAATGTAAGCCTTTACGGTTTCCATTTTAATCCTCTCTTCTTGCATATTTTTTCCTTCTTTATTTCTCGTTTTCCGTGCTTTTTATCCATAATCGCTTATATCATTTACCATGTCATTTTCTTCTGATATAATGGTCTCGGTCTCATCTATGTAAAATGACTGTCCATCCTTATTTCTCTTTCTTAAATGGATAAAGTTTAACTAACTCACTTTAAAAAAAGAAATAATACTTATTTTTTTGAACAAGATCTTTTAGGTTCATTATTTATTTTAGATTAAAATTAAAAGTAGTTTGATTACAGCTAATCAACAATTTTGATGATATGATGATAATGAGATTGTATAATGCAGTATAAGTTAATATTCTTTCACTCACTCATTAGATCTTGTGTTTAAAATTGTAAGAAACAATTATTTGTTTCCTATTTGCAATTATAAAAGTCAACATTTACAAACCTAAGATGCCTCTGGCAAACTTTTTTCCACTTGTTGAAAGCGAATTATATTGATGAACAATTGTGACTGTTGAATAGGAACAATAGTGAACAGAGAAACATACGAATAATCGTAAGTTCATTCTAGTTTCCTCTATACATAGTAACTTTTACACAGATGTATAGTACATGGATCTTTTTTTAACATTCGTTTACATTTTCACTTGTGTAGAATGAATATATTATTTTTTGATGTAATTATGTTTCTTTGGATGTAAAAAAACAACAAAGTTGGAGAGAAACTAAACAAACCGATGAAATAACAAGATTCAATTTCCAGTAGAACGAGTTGTTCATATATTTCTTTTAGTAGGTTATTTGTTTTTTGATAGAATTTGAAAATTTTGAAGTTTTATTCTATTTTTATTTTAAAGAATATTGAAGAGAAAGAAATATATATGCTATATAAATCAATAATGAACATATATGATGAGTGGTTATTATAAAATACGAATGTGTAAAAATTTTGCATCAGTTAGAAAACATTACTCCGTCTTTTCTGTTGGTTTACTAGGAAAGAATAATCTATCGACCTACAGGTATGCTTTTAAAAAAATTGATACCCTGAAAAATGATACCCTGAAAAATGACTGCTGTACTATCAAAAGTGTACACTGATTACTTGTGAAAATTCTAAGAGGTTTATTCTAACAAAGAAAATCTCAAAAAAGACTAAAGTTAGTAAACGATCAGTTCAGATCGAAGATATAGTATAAAATTTAAGCCATTGAATCAAGATATTTAGTTTTCACTTAACTCTCGAGTTTATTTGATCTTCAGAAAACAAGTAAATAATGGCATCGAATTTTACGTTCTTTTGCAAATCGTGTATGGAAAAAAACAACGATGATAATGAATCAACAGGCCAGTGTAATCACTGCTGTAAGCCGTTATGTTCCTCATGTCTGGATTCGCATCTATCATCATACAGTCATTTGAATAACCAAATAACAAAATGTAGAAAAGCGAAACAGTATGCTATTAATGACTTTCAAAGCGAATGTTTGAAAAATGTCGACTCTTGTTTTAATGATTTATTTAATGATTTATATTCGCTTCGTAAACATTGTGTGAAATTCGTTCGAGAACAAATTCAAGTAAGAAGCTCGCAAAAATTAAATTTTCTAGAACTGGTTTATTGACAATCGTAACTTAATGTATAATAGCAATCTGTTGCAGCAAAGGAACGGTACAGCTGGAATTGTACCATGTTAGCCTCTATTGAAACAATATGACCCGTAAACTAAACAAATTAATACTCTTTTGTTTTTCTAATATAGGAACTATCGAACAAAATACAAAATGATTTACCGATTGTTAATGAAAATCAATTATGTTCATTAAATAATACAGATGAGTTCAATAAAAAACTTTGTGAGATGGAAGAAACTATAGAAAATATGGCGTTACAATTGAAAATTGAAATGACATCATATCCACGTGATTTACTGAAAATCAAACTTAATTTTAAATCTCATGTAAAGGATGCAAAAGTGGAATCTCTTGATTATAGACTTAAAAAATCCGAATTAGAACCAAAAGTTAGCACATATTATTGCTCTTATAATAATGCGAATCCATTTGACAACAACGATAACGACAACGACAATGTCGAGACAGTGTATAAAGACTGTTCAAGAGAGAAAGAAACTCAAACTGAATTCGAAACAGAAAAAAGAGACGATATGCCGAAAATTTTAGTTGAAAATTTTTCAAGAACAATTTCTTTATCGTCTTCATCAAATTCTAAGAATGGTGATCATAATTCATCAAACTATTCAACAATTAATTCGAGCGCATTTAAATCGCATGAAAGCATTTTTGTTCATAATTCAATTGATATTTTAACGAGTGATGGATGGAATATTTTATCCTATTCAAAAAATAGTAATATTCTTTGTTATATACCGTATCAAAGTCAATCGGAAATTATGTATGACTGGCGTCATTCAGAAGTATTTGATATGTGTTGGAGTGAACAACGTAAAGAATTTTTATGTGCAACGGAACAATCCTTATATTGTGTTAAATTAGGACATACAATAAAAATATATGAATGTAAAACATTATTAATGAATTATATTTGTCGTATTTCAATCGATAATGCTGGTTATATCTGGATTTTATCAGATCAAGTAATGACTATATATAGTTCGTCACTCAAACCAATGAAAACATATTACCTTAAATCATTTCCACAATTTAATCCAAAATGGACAAGTTTTTGTATTAGTAATAATTTGATAGCTATTGTTTTTTCACGATCAAAATATGATCCGTTTCATGTTAAATTTTATGATTTAGATTTTAACTTATTACAGAAAATTTTTCTGAAACGATTCAATTCTAAAGAAGCTGAAATACGTTGTGATAAAAATATGAATTTCTTTATAACAACGGGAAAATGTCGCAAATTATATGTTATTAATTATGAAAATTATTCAAGAAATGTTTGGTTTGTTAAACTGAAAGGTGATGCAAATTCAGTAGCAATACTCGATGATGGAACAGCGATAATAGCTAATGGTAGCAATAGACTAGAATTAGTTTACGATTAATATTAGTTGTCTTACTTATTACATTACTTTTTCATTTCTCTGTAGCTTATAAATCTATTTGCATTAACGACTTATTCTAATATTTGTATCGATGAAGAAAACTGCCGCCTTTAAATTTACAACTGTTTTCTTATTATTAAAAGAAAAAAAACTTTAAAGTTATATCCTTTATGCTATATTAAGGAAATATGATGACATTTTTTTTTAACTGATATTTTGTACTATTAAGCTTAAAAATAGAATAAATGAACGAATAATACAATATAGTCATTATCTTTGCCAACTGTATGTGCAAAGGTGAAGAATCCATTGTTTTCACTGATGAATTTCTACTGGCCGTTTCTCTATATGTACGTTCTCTCTCATATGTGTAGGTAGCCATTGTTTTTTATCGACACTTTTGTCGTTCTCTGTATTAACTGTACTTTTTTTTCTTTCTGTTCTCTATCTTTCGAACACAAGCAAAATTTATAAGTAAACTAGAATGACGACGTCTTTTTGGAACTCACATACACTACACAAATACAGACCGGATAAAAAAGAGCTTTGTGTAACTTTTCAAGCATTTGTATTAAATCCGTACTTTCGTTTTAATGTTGTTGTACGCAAAATATTTTTAAGTCACTTCACCTTCATACTCTAGAAAAAGAAGAAGAAATCAAAGATAAGTCACTAGCTCTTCTCAGTATATCCTTCTTTAAGTAGCACGTCCGTGCAATTCTTTTCCAAGGACACTAGCCGTCGATTAGTTAAGCTTTTTAGTATATTTTCGGTGTTTTAGGAGTTAAATTACATGGAACATGTATTGCACAACTCTATGAAATTTCTTTACGTTGTTCAAAACTAACTAGTGCACCAATGATCTCTTTTAAGAATATAAAAAATGCGTATGATTTATTTCCTTTTGTTTTTTTTTCTAGATAATTTTGTTTCTCAAGTTCCGTATTACTTAATTAAGGGCAAGTATGGCTCGTACAGATAAAGTAAGTAGATCAGTAGTGATATTTCAGAAGTTTGACATGAATTTATTTTCGTTTCAGGAAGCTTTAGCGTTAGTGTTGGATGTTAGCCAAGGTATGGCTAATGCACCACCTGGATTTGATACTCCACTGCAAGTGGCTGTTGATATATTACAAATGATCGTTCAAAGAAAGGTTATTTGACATTTGTTTTCATTCCCTGATAGTTTATTGTTGTTTTTATCTAATTAGATGTTTCAAGAAAGCAAAGATGAAGTTGCACTAGTGTTATATGGTTCAGAAGAAACAAAAAATGATCTCGCTGAAGATGGTGATTATGATAATGTCAGCATCGTTTTCCCATTAGGTGTAGCTAATTGGAATTTATTTGATGAAATTCAGAAAATAAAACCCGGTGTAGCACATGCCGATTGTATCCTTTTTGACCACTCTTAGCAAAAATTTTAAATTTCTATTATTTGATACTGTTTTTCTTAATGACTTGTTCAGTGGTTGATGCGATTGTTGTTGCTGCTGATCATATTAAAAGTCAGACAGAGTAGGTGTATAATTTTTGTTTAAAAACAAATTTTAATTTCTTTGTCCAATTTTAGTGGTAAAAAAGGTTTCCAGGCCAAACGAGTGTTATTATTTACAAATGCATCAACACCATTCAGTGACAATAATTTGGCTGTAATAACACAACAAATGAAGAATTTTGATATAACATTAGATGCAATTGGTCCAACATGGGATGAAGAAGATAGATCAACATCACCGGAGCCAGATGGTGAAGTTCCAACCGATGCTATGGATCTTGACAGACCACAACAATCAAATACAACAAATGAAGCATCAGCATCAGCAACAGCTCCAACTACAAATGGACATGGAACTGAATCTAAACAAAAATTTCGTAGTCCAAAAAAACCATTGACACCACAACAAAAAACCGGTATTAGGGTTATAACAAATATAGCCAATGAAACAGATGGATCAATGTACACATTTCGGTAATATAATATAGATTGTCTGATAAAAACATTTGTATAAGATGAGAAAATTTCTGCTTGCACTTATTTGACTCATGCGTTCTTCTGTTTTTATAGAGAAGCATTGATGATTCTAAGTACACATCAATCCAAAACTGTGAAACCAACGGCAACAAAATATATATTGGAATTTCTTGATATAAAAATACCAATATGTACATATATCCAGGTATCATGAAACATTACTCTCTCTCAAACCTTTTTTAATTCATTTGTTTTTCATTTGTTAGGTCAAAGATAATAAACCACAAATATTTCGCTTGAAAAAAGTTTTTGCACGTGAACCAAAAATTGAAATTAAAACTGATCGTGGCCGTTATACGAAAGATGAAGTTGATCAAGAAATTGAAAAAGAAGAGATAATCGATGGTTTGTGTCTTTTCTTTCACAGTAATCGTGATCAATTTACTATGACTCGTATTTTATAGGTTATCGTTATGGCTCGACATTTGTTCCCATATCAAAAGAAGATTCAGATGAAATGAAATATCAATCTGAAAAATGTTTTCAAATAATTGGTTTTACTTCTTCTAGTAATGTACGTTCATCTCCACCGTCTATATTTTCTCTATCTAATGTTCGGATTTAATTTGTTTAGGTACAACGAAGTTATTTTCTTGGTGATACAGTTTATGAAGTGATTGCTGAACGTGGCTATGAAGTATGTTGCAGTTTAGTTTAGGTTTTTCTTTCTAAGCTTTTCCCTTTTATCAGGCATCTGAAACAGCATTCGTTGCATTAGTTCAAGCATTGTACGACACTGATACCGTTGCAATAATTCGGAAATGTTTCAGGTATGAATAATGTCTATACCTCAGAAAGTGTGCTCAACTCTACTATATTTTAGTTCAAGAAGTGCTCCTGAAATTGGTTTTGTTCGACCGCATATTTTACATGATCATATTGTAAGTAAAATTTAATTGATAAACAAATGAATTTGAAACAGGATCATTAGATGAAAAAAAATTCATCTTCTGGTTTCAAAAGTTAATTGATGATTGCTATTTCTTTACATGTTTGTTTCTATCTTATAGTGTTTATTTTACATTAAATTACCGTTTTCTGAAGATATGCGCCTATTCGAATTTGACACATTAGATGGTTTTAAACGTAATCAACCAACAGACGATCAATTAAAAGCCGTCGATAATTTAATAACATCGATGGATCTTACGCATGCTGAAACGTGAGTTGAACGAATAGAGTACTATTCTGTTTTCAATCGTGTTCTTTTTCAAGTGGTGAAAATGGTCCAGACGAAGCTCTTAAACCTGAACTTATATTTAATCCGTATATACAACGAATGTTTCAGGTTAGTGAAACTAGACAAGAACATCATTTGACAAGATGGTTGACGAGAAGAATGATAGTCTCCATAGAATACTTGATGTAACCTACTTTTTGTTGAATATGTAAACGTCCAAATTCAAAGAGATCGTTTAGAAGAACTTGTGTTTAAAAGTCTTTTGAAGAAAAGTAAATAAATTTTGAATCTCTACGTCTGTCATTGTTACATATTTATTTTAAGAAAAAAAGCGAAAATTTATATATTTTCTTGACTTCATGATTCAACATGATGCATTTTCTTTCAAAAAGCGTTAGTGTTTTCTTAATTTAATATTAAGTGTTTAATACAAACGTTTTCCTTATTTAGTAATGACCATAATAATATGTTGTTGTTTTTTAATTTCGTTTAGTCAATTGCACGACGTGCTGTGCAACCGGACGAACCATTATCATTTTCAAATACAATTCTAGAAAATTATGAACAATCTTGTCGTAATGTGGCTGTGAATAGTCGAAAAACTCTTGAACAATTGAATAAGCAATTTTTATTAAAAGTTACTGAACGTAAAGCTAAAATGACTACTGGTGAAGCTCTATTTGGAACTGAGTAAGTTGCACATATTTTCAGTTGTTAGAAAAGGCTTATTTTGATCTTATTTAGTGATGTTAAAAAACCTGTCGGTGATGAAAAAGAAAATATTGTTACTAATGATGGTCTTGAAAGTGATAAAGTAAATATGGAGGCAATGGCAACAAAAAAGAAATTAACAATAAAACAAATTGGTAGTGTGACACCAATGGAAGATTTTAAAACAATTATTGAAAGTCAATCATTACCATTCGAGGAAGCATGTAGACAATTGCGTGATCAAATAACAGATTTAATTCAAAATTCGTTTGGTGATGCATTCTATTTGAAAGCATTAGCTTGTTTAATTGGTCTAAGAGAAACGTGTATTCAAAAACTGGAACCAAATGTGTATAATGATTTCATTCGAAATTTAAAAAAATGGTTACAGACAATAGCACGTAAAGATTTTTGGGATAAAATTGTTCAAGGTAACATGTGTTTTTAGTTTACTACTCGTATTGAAAGTATACAATTTTCTCTAAAATGAATTTTCCAGGTGACTCTTTCTTTTACATTATGTCGATGACTGATATATCTCAAACATTTGAGACAGCGAGTTTCAGTCGTTCAAGATGTATTTTCTGGTTATCTAGATCTTATATTTCTTTATGAGAACACATCGCACGGGAGAAATTTGAACTAAGAATAAAAACGATGCTGAAGTTGAATTTTACTACTCCTATTTATAACTGCTAACTGTTTTCAATGGGAATATGATTGAGATATCTTTCTATATATTGTTTTTATTTTTAAAGAAAAACTGACCATTATTTCAAGCAATGAATGTATCGAATCGAATGTATTTCCAGCTGAAGCTGAATCATTTCTTGCCGAAGATACACCTGAAGATACAGCAAACAAACCCGGAACGATAGATCAAGCTGAAAATGAAGAAGATTTGGTACGTATTTTAGAATTCTTGATAAATTATGTCAAATTATTATGTTGTTTTCTCTTCTTTTAGCTTGATTTAATATAGAGATTGTATAATTGGTCGACTATTCTTGAATATTCATGCTCTGACAAAGTATATCTGTTGTTAATTATTTTTACTAGATTTTTCGAAATTAATATGTGGTAATGTAAAGAATTTTTGTGTTCAAAGGACGCACCAATTTTATGGTTGTCTGTTTTTTTATTTGTTGATGTTAATTAACTGAATTTGTGTATTATTCTGTGTAGATTTCTTTTCTTGTTATTTTTGTCTCTCGTTTTTATACGTAAAAATAATGTTGATATAGATAAAAATAATTAAAAATCTCTGCAACCGTCAATAACTTTGTTAAGGTAAGTGAGCATAATTTGCTTCGCTAAGCGAATTATCTTCTTCTAACATATTGGGATAGCAAAGATTTCGTTGAGTGCGCGAAACATAGTCTACACAAACAGAAATGAATCAGGAAGAGAGAATGATTCTCAGTTTGATCAATATAATAAACCGATCCGACCTTAATAATATAGTTTGCTATATACAAACCAACGCTAGTAAGATCAGTGCAAAATTTTAAAGTCTTTATTTGATGACATTTGCTCTTCACTTTTTAAGCATATATTCAACTAGATGAGTGTTTTTAAGTTCAGACCTACAAATTCATTTTTAATTATCAGTCCATTTAAGTAACAGATGTGTTTCTAAAACTACATTTTTCGTTAAATTCTTGTGTGCTTTGGATAATTTTGCTGAACACAATACATTCTTTGTTCGTGACGAGCTATGTGTATCATTAGAATTTAATTAGCTATAGAGCAAAAGATGTGAGAGCGTCTTTCATTTGAATTGTTGAATAACTTTTTTAAAAACTTGTTGTTTTCATTGGAAGAATGAATGAAGATGTAGATAATGATCTTATTGATGTTATGGATATGTACAGTGTTGACGATGATGATGATGATGATAATGGAGACATCCAGTATGACGTGTATTCACCCTCTGATACTATAAAACCAAAAAAGGTTCAATTTCAACAGCATTTATCTGAGGAAATACATTCACCATCGGTTGATGATCAAAGTGATAATCAACGTGAATGGATCAATGACTTAACAGCATTAGGCTCATTGATGTCCCATCATGTTGGTGATGATGATTTTGTGGCATCAGAAAGTAAACTTGTTCGATCAAAATTACAACGACTCTTTGGTTTTGTCTTGAGCGATATGAATAGTGAACCAATGTCACAAGCACTAGGTGATAATATATCGAATTTAAATGAGGTTGATGATGCATTATTAAATTTAAATCGTAATGCCACATTAAAATTTCGAAATTATAAACAATTTCGAGAAGAATTTATAGCGGCCACTGAAGATGGACAAGATTTAGTTGGTCAACAACAACGAAATGTAAAATTGAGAAAACGTGCATCTCATATGCAACGTGATCAATTTGGACGATCAAGAATATCGTTATCATATTTTTCATATTGGTTAATTCGAAGTGCTTTCATTCAATGGTTTATAGGCATAGCTATATTTGTTGATGCAGTAAGTTATCATATTAATAAAAAGACAAATTGTGATATATTTATATCTAATTTTGAGGTTTGTGTTGCAATAACATCAGAATATTCTTCATCGTATATGATTGATCAATCACGTTACATGTCCTATAATATAGCATTATTGATATCTCGATGTGTACTATTTATTTACGTTTTTGAAATTATATTAAAATGGATTGATGATTTTTGGTTTTATTGGTATGATATTATCAATTTAATTGAATTATTATTAACTGTTATCTCTATTGTGAATTTTATTACCGATTTGTATAAGTCAAGTATCGACGATGAAGCAAATAAAAATTTTTATAATATAACAACTAATATTCAACAGATAAATACATCATCACAATTTATTCAAAATCAACAAAAACTTACTGATACACTTAGAGCTATTCGTTCTTATGGTTCACTGTTTACCATATTGAGAACATTGCGAATACTAAGAATAATACGAACATTAGAAATTGCATTGCGTTTTACACAAGTTAAAATTGTTTTTCTTGCACTTTCTCGATCAGTCAAAATTATATTTCATGTTGTATTATTAACAATAATATTAATTTATTTTTTTGCTTTACTCGGATTATTTATAACTCAATTTGGATCATCGAATGCGACATATTCAGATATGAAAAATGTTTGGCCACTATTCGGCACTGGTAGGTCAATGAACTGATATAAAAAATATTTTTATACTACCGTCATATTTTAGTTCCAAAAGCGTTTATTACTGTATTTCGTTTATTTACAAAAGATGAATGGTATGAAATTAAAACTCAGTTACGCTATTTGAAAGTAAATACAGTTATTATCGATACTTACGTTATTGTATGGTTTTTTTTTGGAGGTTATGTTTTAAATCCGCTTCTCATCGGTGCTATGGTAAGTCTACAAATGTATGTTGTGAATAAATTTGTACAGTTAACGGTCTGATCTAGGTTAATAGTTTTGATGAAACAAGAAAAGAGTTGACACAAGGAATTAAAGAAATCATTTCACATAGTAGTTTAATAAAACATAATAATTCAACTGGTGAAACAAGAAAGAGTCATTTAACAACATCAATTGCTGATGAACCAAGTCTTGCATCATTTCGCTCATTATTATCAAAAATGAATTCAACAACAAGAGTAGATTCAAATTTATCATCATTAACTGATTTAATGGATCAATCGAGTTCATTTGAAGATTGGTTACGAATAATATCGGATGAAATGCGTTTATTAGGTAAAATGTTATTCTAGAATTTTAGTGAAACTGATAATTCTGTTTTATTTTATAGCTCAAGAAAGAGTGGAAACACAATGGCCAATCTATACAGCATTCTATTATCTACAATTACTCGAATCATTATTTGAAAATTTAGCTGAAAGACAATTATTATTCGATTTTATCACAACATCATTGTTAAGTTTACATGATAAAGAAACAAAAACAAATAATCCACCAATATTGTCTTCGGATGAATCGAATTATGACAAAGATGAAAGTGACGAAAGTGAAAACTAATCGTCTTTGATGATAAAAATTGATAGTCGTCGTACATAGTGTCACTAGTACTTCAACTCTTTTAGCTTGATTTTTAGGCTACATGCTATGGAGCAATGAAGACAACAAGTAGTAGACAATACATTCAAATAGAAAATCTATTATAAGTCTTACATACAAATGGAGATGTTAATCGCATTGATCAATTTTTTTACAATTTCTAGTGTCACCATAAGCGAAAAACATTTTGGAAAGTTTTCAGGCCGCTAATAATCAAACGATTGGCTAACACTTCTACGTACAAATTCATTTAAAAAATGAGTACAAAAATATTAATTAACGCTTATTTTTTAAATTTATGTGAAATACACTGTTTCATCAGAGATCATAGTTTTATGTTGTGAACATTTACTGAGTACACAAATAATATTTAACAAAAGTTGAATACATTTCTTTTTGTAGTTTTCTTGTAATTCAAAGTTAGTTATTCTAACAAAAGTAAAAAATAGTTGGTATTAGAAATGGTATTTATTAGTATTTTTTATCTTCTACCATTTATTATGATCTTCTGTGAGAATTCATCGTTATTTTAATTTTATTCAAGCAGAAAGAACAATTTGTGTACTTAATAAAGGGTATAATCAGAAAACATATTCTTGTATAGATAACCTTTATTTTACTGCTTTAACAATTTTACAAGAAGGACATAAAAATGGTGAATTTATCGCATAGTGTAGCAAGTAAAATAATTATAAAAAAACACTTAGAAACGTTAATAACAAATATTGTCAAATTTTATTTTTTCGACTAAAACTATCAAAAGATGCCTTTTTTCTTTTAAACTGGTATTGGAAAAGACAAAATTACAAAGAATTCTAAACGGAGAAACATCTGAGCATGTCGTTACAGAAAAAACTAGTTGATCTCAGTTACAAAATCTACACTTATTAAATTACTTGCACTACGATATAATGACTCACGATAAACAAATCATGCATTAAAAGTTTTCAGTTTCTATTCCTTTTTCTCCTTCCATGGGTCTGTTGACGCTCTTCTGCATCTAAATCAATTATTTCATAGACCGTGGTATGAACAATCAACGGATGAGCGAAACCTAACTGTACCAAAATATACTGGAATATAAATAAAAATTCTTCCAAATATAAGAAAGAAATAAAAACGATCAATGTATACATTAATTCTTGCCCTTTATTACCCTAAACAAAATATTTGGCTAATAATAAAATAAAAAAGGTGAGAAAATAGTGACTTACCGTAAACAAAACCCAAAATTGGTTCAGTTCAGTTATTTCACATATTTCCACTTCTCCCATTTTGGGTAACTATTATAATTTTCAAACGATCAAGTAAAAACTATCGAATTTTATATGTATCAACTACTTTTTTTCATCACATAATAATCTCTTCATCAATATGGGCGCTTTTTTTCGATAACTGCGGGCAAAAACCTAGTTACTTTGAAAAATATGAAAGATTCCAATCATAATCTGCCATTTACTTTGCAATGAATCTTGAATGCTCGATGAAATGCCTTAATCATTATGCACGAGGTGTATGTAGCGCAACTAACGTCCATGTACTACATAAGCCCGGTGAAAGCGAGAAAGGCTGAGTAGTTCTATACTTGTGAACTATTTAATACGCAGCACAGAAGAATTTTGGACTTTAAATGGCGATGAAAATAATATGATTTTACCAAGATCGATTCAAGCTCAAAAGTTCGTATTTTCGTTTTTCGATATAGCTATGTAGCTAACCTATGTAGCTAAATAGAACGTGCCTTCATCCCTAGCACCCCAATAAAATTCTTCACTTGATCCTTCTTGAATATCATCAACTTTTCTTGGTGTTATAGATAAAAACGATGTGCACTATTCCTGAATAAAGAGAATTATAGTGAAAAATGGGACAATGTTGTATTTAACATTTCAATGCAGTCGAACTGGTCCATTTGGATTGGTTACACACAGCTCCTAGTTTTCAGCTGTTGCAAGTAACTGTATGTATGTCTACACTACACGAAAGTCAGTACCATCCAATCAAACATTATCGTCTAAAACATCTAAATAAACAAATACCGAAATTATCTATTTATTCAGCTCTATTTAAATCAAGGAATTGAAAAGAAATGAATGATATAGTGACGTATGAGCTCCTAAACCATCTATATGTCTATTGAGACAATAGATATACTATATATTTCCTCGAAATATGCGAAGTCAATAACAATTTTCGCATCGCATTTAAAACTGCAAGAATTTGAAAGGCCTCTCATCTCTGAATTATATGGATTTTGTTTAGAATCTTGTATGGAGTGATATTAGCTGGTCTCGTATCCTTCTGCTGTTTTTGTCCTGAAATATACCACAGTGCTGGAAACTGTTGTACGCTTGCCACTTTCCTGTTCGAAAAAAAACAGATTTTTATACCAGTGTCTGTAATGAGAATTTTTTGCAGAATTAGGCTTCTCACTTCGCTTTTGGGTTCGCAGTGGATTTTCCTCGTTTGTTCTGTAACACAAAGTCGATAAGGTCGAAACAAATTTTTTTAGGAAGTCCTCTTTACTGTCTCACACCCACAGTTTTCACACTTTCACTTCCATAAATACAATCAGCTCGGTTGAAGTTCACTGCTATTGTCATTCGCGATTTCATTTTCTTGTAACTGTGAGTGTTGAGAGAGGCAACAAATGGATGAAAAATATATCTAACTCAATTTGCTGCACCTTTTTATTGTCAGCCATCTAAAAGAAAAGGCTCGCTGAAAGAGTGCGTGTAACAAAAGCTGTCTTAGTCTAAAGTATAGCGATCCAACCAGAGATAGACGCAGTTCAATATTCTTTCTTTATTCTTCATGTTAATTTTTGAACAACAGCGGCTTAACTGTAAACAATCAAAGCGATTTGACAAGAACAAATCTTATTAGTTCTCGCGTATATATATTTCATAAAGGACTGGTGTGTCATTTTTTGTTATTTTCTTTTTAAGATGAAAAAAGCAAAGTGAAATTTTTTCCCCCAGAGTAGGTAATAGATAGAAAAGTCATTTTTCAAAGTGGAAACCCATTTTGCTCTCGTTTGTCCCATCAAATATTAAAAACAGTGCTCTACACTTAAAAATTTATTCTAGATTTGTATTCATGGATTTTTCGTTTTTATCTTCACTTTCATTATTGTAAAAGACATGTCATATTTGACAAGTAGCACGAGCGCTGATGATAATGATGAAAACATGATAGTCGACAATGAATCATCTAAAAAGTTACTTAATGAACAAAAGAACTTAATTTATAAACATCCCTTATTTCCATTCTTAGTCTATGTGTTAGAAAAATGTGAAGATGCCACTTTAAACCCACTATTAATATACAAAGAACAAAAATCACCAAATACATTTGAATATGACATTAAAACATTTTTACAAAAAAATATTATGGATCAAGAGACGATAAAAATGTGTAAAAACGATAGTTCAACACAATCTATAAACGATTTTTTCATCCATGCTATACAAGTACTACGCATACATTTATTGGAATTAGAAAAAGTGAATGAATTATGTAAAGATTTTTGTCAACGTTATATTGCTTGCCTGAAATTGAAACTAAACTTTAAAAGTAGTGTGGAAGAAGAAGATGATTACAGTTCAGATGATTACCCTACAGAAAACGAAAGCGATGATAACGAACAAATAACTGATGAAGAGGAGAACAATAACGAACGATTGATAATCCGGAAAAGGTCCAAGAAAAATGATAGTGAGACCTATTCTTCAAATGAGGAGATTGATGATGATGAACAACCAAATCATTGCAAAGAAAAGTTTACACGTTTAACGAATCCTTCAAGGTAAGAACAGATTACATTTAAGTAGCCAGAGATGGGCGAGTCAAGCCATTTTTCGAGTCGAGTCCGAGTCATTTCGTAGCGGCTTCGAGTCGAGTCGAGTCATCAGCGTTCTCGAGTCGAGTCGAGTCAAGATATTTTTGCCATTTTTTCGTTTTCGGTTTATTTTTATAAAGAAAATTAACAAGTTTTTCGTGACACAATATTTAGTTCCTAGTTCTTAATTCACGAAAAAAACAAAGTCCTACATGAAATGAAATGACACAAGTACTATAGATTTATCAACAAAACAAGAACATCAAAATCAACTATTCTCACGAATAAGTGAAAATTTAATCTGATGAGTTGTGACTTTTTATAAGAGCAGATTAAATTTTTTTTAATGAATGACTCGAGTCAAACAGTCGAGTCAACGTCACCCAATCTTCGAGTCCGAGTCATTAAAAAAAGGTGACTCGAGTCGACTCGAGTCCGGGTCATGACTCGGACTCGCCCATCTCCGTAAGTAGCGTCTCTGATAGATGCTCATCTTTATTTGTTTATTACATTTCTTTGATTTGAGTTTTTCAAAAATTCATTTTCTGTCTGTTTAGTTACCATTATCAAGAGAGTTCGTTAACATCTTTCACAGATATTAGAGCAAGAGAGAATGTCTATGACAATAGTAAATCGCGACTGACGACCAAACCGTTACTTAACGGCGAGACACCATTGTCACAAATTATTGGAAGTTCATCTAATGAACAACTACTATCCTCCTACCAGTCTCATTCTAATTACTCGTTAAAATCTCTCTATACGAATAAAGATGATAACGATACTATTTCAACATCAATAAATACAAAACGAAAACGAAAACAATTGCTTCTTATGTCAACAATAGCTTCATCACAAGCAGCAGCAAAACGAGGAGTTTTACCTAAATCTGCCACAAATATAATGCGTTCGTGGTTATTTCAACATATTGTTCATCCGTATCCAACTGAAGATGAGAAACGCCATATTTCATCTAAAACAAATTTATCATTATTGCAAGTCAACAACTGGTTTATTAACGCACGAAGACGGATTTTACAGCCAATGTTAGAAGCCAGCAATCCCGATCTGATCTTAGCAAAAAAGAAAAGATATCATCATCAAGAACTAGACACTAACGAAGAAGTCAATGATACTGGTAACAACAACAACAAACAATTTCCAAATAGTCGTTATTGGCCATCCAATTTAACATTGATTAACAAACAACAGTCTCCAGATAAGCATGGAAAGAAAAAATGACACTTTTTGTGTTTAATCATTGTGACAATAATTATGTCTAACCAGATCTTTTCTTATCAATTTATTCTTTATTTTTTTATGCATATATATACAGTATGTTTTTGTTTTTGACTCTTGTTTTGCATTTGACAAGTAGTCGATAAGCATTTCTTTTTCGCATTCTCTTTTACATGTTCTCTTGTTACGGTTTTTGTCCTGTATTGGACATTTGAATAATCTAAAGATACTTTGTATCTGAAAAGTACCGTTAGATACTTGTTCGTCAATATAACCTGATTGTCAGTAATTTTACATCTCATGAATAATGTTGTGTTTATTCACATGTTCATCCATTTTTTGCTTTGTTTTGTAGTTTACTTTATTTTTAGCAACGAAACTTTGTAATAATATTTGTTGCTTTTTTGTACGTACTTTTTTTTATCTCGTCAAACGTGAGTAGACTAAAATCAGGTGGAATTGTTGTTTCTACATGATTAACGAATAACTACGTTCTTCCATATGCTGTGTAAATTGCTATTGATGAATTCACTTTTTTAGACGCTGTCATTTTGACACATGTTTTGTTTTGTATTTTCTAATTTATTTACAATAAATAGTTTCTAAGATTTTACCATCTACCAATTTGTAACAAAAACATCTGAAATTATCGTTTTATGGTGATTAAATCAAGGAAAACGTATGTGTAACTAGTGTTAATTATATACTGATTTTGAATGTCATTAATGATAAAATGTTAGTGGAGATTTATGAAGTCGCTGAAAGAGAAAAATCGCATGTAAGGTTAGTTCTTTTTCAAGATATTTTTCCTTTTTATTTATTATGTGGATAGGTTACACATTTTTGTTTTGTCTTTCTCATGTAGTTATGTTTCGGTAGCATAAATTCATCCACTTACCAACATTGATTTTCAAAATCGGAGAATTAGATAAACAAATTACTCATATAAACAAACGGCGTTCAAAATCAGAAGAACATAATCAAGACTTCAAACGAACATTGGAAAATTCATTTCATGATCTCCAACATGACGTAATTAGAAATTGGAAACGAACAAATGCATTTCACGAGAGACTGGAAAGCCAAAAAGCTTGAAAACTGGAAGTCAAATTTTTCTGAGATTACCATTTTTTTAGATTACATCGAATTATCTATGTTTTTGAATATTCCGTGATATTTTGATCATGGAACATGTCTTTGATAGAGTGAGAATTTTGTTAATTAGAGAGAATAGCGTTCCAGAAGCTTTTTCTTATAGTTAAAGCTCATATGCAAAATCTTGTAGTATTGTTCATACTCTACGTTTATAGCAACTAGAACCAATAAATACTACATCATTTGAAAAGATTTAAAGAAGTCTCTATTTTCAGTTGTCAGGTGTTATGTCAAAATATATGTTTGTATGTTCTTTGTTTCATTATAACTAATTTTTTGCTTCATTTCTTTATGTAGTTATAATTAATTGTTTACCGTCACTTCTCTCACTAGTCAAAGATCAAATAAATCAACTGCATACACTTGATGCTCGAGCTATCAATAGCAATACGCTAGAAACCGATGTTCTAGTTATTACGGACATATATTGAATAATCCTTATTGAAATCATCAAATTAAATTCTTTAAGTCACATTTAATTAGTACTGTTTTTAATTAAAATATACTGTTATCAAATAATGTTGTCTTAATTACTTTAGAAAAATTAACAATGATGCAAAACACCAACCAATTATGACGAAATTTAAAAAGCCTTATGAAATAAAACATTTTTCACTATTAGTCATTGACAAAATACATTGCCAATTGGTCAATTTTTTACCATAATTTTAGTGAGTTGAAATCGTTATTGCTACCATCTTATTTCATCATAACTTATGCACATATTTGCCTTGTTATCTTTAGAATCTGATTTAAAATTTTTTTAATCTTTTCATCCTTTCTTGATAAACCTTTTAAATAGAGGTTCCAAATCGAACAAAATCAATAAAAAAACTTTTGTCAGCAATTACAAGTCCGTTCATCGAAAAAACTTCAGAGCACATACGGCTTGATGTAATTTACAAAGTAATGAAAGAAAAATAGAAGATGACTATCAAGGACTACATCCATTAAGTGATCGGAAAGACAGATACTTTTAATATGAAATGAAGGTTCTCGTGTAAACACAAAAAATCAGTTGAAAAATCACATTCTCAGTTAAGTCTGAGAAGTAATAGGAAGTGTCTAATTACTGATTTAGGTATGTAATTTCTTAGTGTTTTTTTTTCTGCTGAAATGTGTATGGAGTGAATCATTGTTCCTTCTGTAGTTATTACTTGTCATCTTAGATCGAAAAGGGTAGTTTTATTGATATATTAGCTGCCGTATTTACTCTCAACTATACTCATGTCCACTGCCGTTAGATTCATCGTATGCTATCGCTGAGCAATCGTACAAAACAACTTCAGATAATAATACAGTGTAATAAATCACAATACAAGACAAAAAAGGTCATCTATATAGTTTATTGAGTAAACTAAGATGTTACCTGTCAATGTGGTAAATGCCAGTTAAATTTTTCATCTCCCTACATTTTCAGCATATATCTAATGTCACCATCATAGATTGTGTGTTGATAAACGTAAAAAACAAGTATACAGTTGTATGATAACTATGAAGACAGCGAGAGAGGAAACCATCTTGGTGTTGATATCATTAACAGGAAATGAAAAAGACTACTATAACACGGCATCAGAAAAACAACTACATGACGCAGTCGACGAAAACATGTTAAATGAAAGATAGAATGACTATCTGTCACTCTTCTGAATTTAGCTCTCTGAGCATTTCTTTGTGGAAGCAAGCGAAACAGGAAAGATCTATTGCTCTTCGCAACTAACGAGAATAACTGAGTACTTGACATAAATTCACAGTAGGCATTCATTGAGACTTTTCTTGCTTGAATTACATTTATATATGGTCGCCAAAGAAACTGTAGAAGTTCACGCTTTGTTTTCTTAGGTGGCAACTTTTCTTGATCCTACGTCCTACCACTGCATGACCGAAAATGACATCAAAGTGGCAAAAAGGTTTGTTGCCCAAGCAATGAAGAAACGACAGGACGATTCTTTGCCGCCGGTGATACCGGTGAGTAGTTTATATGTGTGTTTTTCGTCTACTCGTGTTCGAATGAGCACTGACTCGTTGACTAAGAACATAAAAATGCATTATTAAAAGAAGAAATTATGCAATCAGTTCGAATGTGAACATTGATCTCGATTGTCCTTAGCAGACACTTTTCCTAATTTGATTTCACTACTTTGTTGAGATGTGTGACATTTTGGTTTCGATTTTCTTCGTTAGATACTACTGATACGTTAACATTGAACCATATGTGACATAAAGATTTAAAGCAGCAGCATATTTTTTTCTTTCTTTTTTCTCTTTCACTCATACAGTAGCGGAGAGCAACATAGCAATACATGATGACTAATTTGTCAAAACCTTCCAATGGGTTTGCAAATGAAAAGAAGCAGTAGAAAAGAATTTTTGTGATTTTAACATTTGTCACCTGTGCTTCTATACAAAGAGCTTGCCACTATTTAACAACGGTGCTAGTTAATAAGAGTTGTCACAATTTGAAAAACCTTGTGGAAGAGTGGGATGTGATTGATAATCATGCATCACTAATCAATCGACTGCATATCCTTCAATAAACGGTTGATTATTTCTAGGTTTCCTCAACAATGACTGCAGCAGAAAAAAAACCTTGTTCGATAATTTATCAGTGTTGTGAGGTGTGAAACGATCGAATGGTACATCAAGACTGGCGAATAAGAAGCAGCTCACAATCGACGAGGAACTTTGCCATTATGTGAAAGCTGTTCAATCGGCAACGGATTTTCGACAATTCTGGATCGACAATGAATTATCATTACCACGATTAGCTCATTTAGTCCGTCGATACAATGCGGTACCAGCAATATCTGTTGCTAGCGAAAGCAGCTTTAGCGTTGCCGGATACATTTGCCGGAAACAACGCACCTCCAAAGGCCGTTCAATACTCAATGGTATTGAAGAGTCGGCGAATGCTGGAACGTTTGAGCAAAGATTTGTAGACATGCATTTGAACTAACATCGTCATTGGCATTGACATCAATGCTGAAGTATTAGTCAGATTTTTCTTTTATTGAACGTTGTCACTAATTGCCGTAACGGCAATGCCGTTACAGTTGATACACTCTCGTTTTATGCATTTTATGTTCTCACGTGCGTTGTTGTTCTTTCGTCATTCCAGCAAGAAAACAGCGTTAATATCATTAAAAGTGAAAACAAGAACTAGCGATGATAATAAAATGTTCTTGATGATTCATGTCAGCGCTACCTAATTCTGAACGGATGTCGACATTCAGCATCCACCATTCGAAAAAACACTCAATACGAAATAGATCAATTCTTGTTTCGGGTGCTTT